CAGTGAATGAAAGCTTATTTCGATGCTCGAAATTTTTGATCGATGATCGAATAATTAGTCATCGATTCCAATCTCTAGTTGTAACACGTGATTCATTCAACAACTTTGAGAGCCTTGTTCAAACTTGAAGTGGGGCACAGTTTTTCAGTACCATGATACTAGTTTGAAACTACATTGTGGATTATTTATCTAGACAAATAAAAAAAATTCCTTTGAATACAAATTAACAAAGTGGATAAAGTGGTAAATTAACTTAGAGGTAATTATTTTCTAAGGTTACGACTCATTTCTCCAAGTGCCATTTTCATCACGCAGGTGACCTGCAACCAACTTAACTCTATGTGTGATGTCGGTTAAATGTCCTGTAGGGAAGACTGTCGAGAAAATGAGCGGCTACCTTTTCTAAACACCAAAACTTTATTTTACATATACGAAATTATCGGATTACCGACAGTTATCGTTATCTGTTATGATACTGCTTCCAAATTAACGAAAGTCATCCTCACGTGAAACGTTATTATTGGCTATTGTTGTTACACAACATATACCGAATTTTAATTGGCTGTAAGTAAACGGATCGTAAATCGAGAATTTAGAGACACACACTCTTACTTCTGGTGATAGTAACTACTTGGGCCCCCTGGTAGTTTCCATTTACAAGTAATTATATAATAAACATATAAAGAAATGTCTGATAGGGTAAGGATTTAATTCAAAAAAGCTTCATACATCTATCGCATTTTAATTTTCTATCGCTATTTTACACCATTTCACTATAAATGTATTCTATTCTTGTTTAATGACAGGGCAGAGGCAGAGGTGGTGCAACACGAGGTAGAGGTGGTAGAGACGGTCGTTCCGGAAGAGGTGGTTACTCGGCCTTTGGAGGTGGTGACAAGCCTAAGAAAGAATCAATACTTGATCTATCGAAATATATGGACAAAAAAATACGTGTTAAATTTAATGGTGGACGCGAAGGTTAGCCAAACTTTTCATTCCTCGATCATACATATGTGGTTAAATAATTTATAAATAGATTCTTTTTTTTCTTTTTGTTCACTATATTGGGATTCCTGGGAATAATAGTAACTGGAGCATTGAAAGGCTATGATCCTTTACTGAATCTAGTACTCGATGATACTGAAGAACAATTGAGAGGTACAAGAAAATTTTATTACGAATTATAAATGAACTGTTTTTGCATTTATTGGTATTTTTTTAATCTGTCTTTATATTAGATCCGGAGACCAACCATTTGTCAGACGATGTTAGGTCATTAGGATTAATCGTTTGTCGTGGTCCTGCTGTAATATTAATATCACCAGTTGATGGAACAGAAGAAATTGCAAATCCTTTTGTGCAAGAATAGTTGTTATATTTCATTCGCAAAAAATTTAATTATAAGAAGCATTTAATATAATGTTTCATGCTAAACCATATTTCCAGTACCCCGAAATGTTTCGGTTTCGATGAATCAGGCTACTATAACTAAGGAGAAGTTCGAAACATCCTGGGGACATATGTGATTAGTTTTGAACCATATTATAACAAATAATGTTTATAAAATATTTTAGTTTATTAAATGAATAAAAGGTATGTGACGCATATAACGCATTGTGACTCATGCAAACATTACATCTTAGCATGTCTCCTTCACACATCCCAAATTATTATCGGATGCTTTGATTTGCCTGACTGCTAATATATTTTTTTTAGAATCACTCTGGTCTCTGGTCCAGATTACATCATGTTATCTTTTTTGGTAAAGTTTGAAAATTGAATTACTAAATAATCACGTGAAAGAGCGGTTTCCTTTTTCGTGTGGAAAAGAAACGATTCTTATGTGAACAAATTATTTCTGCGATAATTATAATTTGCCTTTATTAGTAAAAATATAAGGGAGCGTATAAGGATAAAGTATATAAATTTTTAAAATCAAAATTACAATTATAATATATCATCAGAAAAAAAAAAAAAAAAAACGAATAATTAATTAGAGAAAGTGACTAATTTAGGATCTCGTGGTACCCCCGTCTGAGGATCAATATTATTGGTTTTAAATTTCCTTTGCATTCTGAATAATCTTGCCTGATCAAAATTGAGGCCTTCAGCCTCCATTATTCGTTTGATTTCCTCCGAATCTTCTAACCCTAAACGGTTATCTCCATCAGCAATGTTTTGGTGAAGGTCAAAAGATTCTGATGTTAGTCCACCTTCAATATCACTTTGAAATGAATTTGTGGAGAAAACAGCAGGCAAACGTTGATAACGTCGATTTAAATAAGGAAGTTTTGCAAGGATTGCTTTGCGATAGTAGAATGCAACTTATTTAAATTTCAACATAAAAAAAGTTAACAAATTTGATGAAATAAAATAATACACTATATTTTGTATGAACTATGACTTACCTAACACCAAAAACAAAATGATAAGAAAGAGAAAGCCCAGCATATCTCTCGCCATTATTGCTAACCGAGACAAGGTTGAGATTCGGGAAAACAAGATTTCATGCTCGCCACAGAAGTTAGTTAAACATGTGTTTATATTTGGTAATTTAAGTGGCTGTGAATTGTGACACACCCTGTTTTTTTTTATTGGTCGAAATTTTCGAGATAGACAACTCGAAAAAACGAAAAAAAAAATCCGGTTTAAATGTCAGATAATTACTTAGTGATAGGAGGTGATGGTTTCGTGGGGCGATGGATCGTAGAAATGCTTCTTAAGCGTGGCGAAAAAAATATATCAGTTTTTGACATTGTACAACGATATTTTGATAAAGAGGTTACACATTATGTTGGCGACCTTAGTAATTACAATGACATTGATAACGCCATTCGAAAAAGTAATGCTACGAGCGTGATCCACACAGCGTCTCCGCATTATGGTGGAGCCCCTAATGAATTATTCTGGAAGGTTAACGTCGATGGAACAAAAAATGTTGTCGATTCTTGTATTGCTAATGGTGTTAAGAAATTGGTATATACTAGTAGTGCAAGTGTGATTTACGACGGAGTTAACCCACTAGTTAATGCGGATGAGACTACACCTTTTCCTGAAATACCTATGGATGTTTATAACGAAACAAAGGTATCATTTGCACCATCTCTACTTTCTATCTCTATTTTTTGTCAAACTAAGATTTTTCATATGGTTTAGGCAAAAGGCGAAAGGCTCGTGCTCGAAGCTAATGGAACTAACGGCCTTCTTACATGTGCCATTCGTCCAAGTGGTATTTTTGGGTGAATATTTATCCCCGATTTACTAATTACAGAGTTAAAAAAAAAAAAAAAAAAAAGCAGGAACCTACAATTAAGGAAATGTGAATATATTTTATATCCAACACTTTTATTAATCGTTTTTATAACTTATAATGCCATTACCACTCAAGTCCGAATGACAAACAGTTTATTCCACCTGCAATTAGAGTTATGGAGCAAGGACAAACAAAATTTCAAATTGGTGACAATTCCAATTTAATGGACTGGACCTATGTTGAAAATGTTGCCTATGCACATTTATTGGCTTCTGATAAATTATTTGATGGAAGTCCGGTCGCAGGAGAGGTATATAGAATAATTGTAATTAAAAATTTTATGATTATAATATATATTTATTAATTATCAAATGCATATAATTCTTTTATAACAAAAAAAAAAAAAGGTATTTATTATCACAAATGGTACACCGATACCATTCTGGGACCTGTTAAGATTTTTTTGGGCTCAATTTGGACATTATCCACCATACATTATTAAATTTCCAAAATCAGCAGGTTTTATAATTGCATCGTTAGCTGAATTAGCAAGTTATTTTACAGGAAAAGAACCTGGATTTACAAGACAAAGAGTAAGATTTAGTTGTAATAATAGATATTTTAACATTGACAAGGCAAAAAGATTGTTAGGTTATGAACCTTTGGTTGATTTAGAAGAAGGTATAAAAAGAGCTTATCAAAGTATTAAGTAAATGTTTTATAGAAGTTGTTAAAACTAGTACACTACAATCTTTTCGATTAGTTATTAATTCTAGTGATACCGAAAAAATTCTTGAGTAATGCGTAAAATCAAATTTTGCGAATTTGCTCTAATAAAAAGTATTATCCATAAAGTTTTAGGTAATTAAAGCCCTAATGTTAACACGAATGGATGGTTGAAGGTTTGTCAGAAACAGGTGCAAATTTCCGTTTACTCATTTTGATGCGTTTATCTGTTTTTTTTTTTTTTTATCCGGTGGTAAATATTTGCAGAACAGATTCGCTTAACAGTAGGATAGTGATGAGAATTGGACATGTCCAATTAAATTTTTTTGATTAGACATGTTTGAAACTATTTAAAGCTGTCCAAATTGTGCAAAAGTATCTTTTTATAATAAACAATAACTGGTTTCAACACCCCTGGTTTCAACATTTTCGCTAGTAAAATTTAGGGTAGAGTGCTGTTATATATTAAAGTAAGGGTTAGTATTAGAGTAAATTTAGATTAATATAAGGTTTTCGAGGGTACTAAACATTTTTACTTAGAACATTCGATATTAATTACAGTACTTAGCTAGCTTTTGAGATATAGCATGTGGTGTTGAACACCACTGGTGTAATTTAGTAAAATCAATCTTTTAATACTAACTTTTACTTTAATTATGACAATACTCAGATTTTAAATTTTATTAGCAATACTATTAAAAATATATATATACGGCCATATAAATAAAGTTATTCATTTCTTATAAATACTGTATGTTTTCGAAAATAAGCTACCCTTTTTTGGCAAATAGGTTACATAAAAATCGTAGAGATAGCTTATTTTGATATATTAAATTTTTTTAAAAAATTTATCAAATTCACTATAGGTGTATTTTAATATGCTAAACAAAATTGTCTTGACTTTTGTATATGGCAACTCGTGTTGGTTATCTTTATAAGTCCAATAATTTGAATTGGAATTGGACATATATATTCTAATTGAAATCTATAAGTTCAATATTTCAATTTATAAATCCAGTATAACAAAGTTGGTTCAATTGCTTAATACTAATAACAACTGTTGGTAAGATTTTTAAAAATTAGAAAATAGCAAAAATATATCTCTTAATCCGTATTCTAGGTGAAAATCTAAATCAAGTAATAATTTTTATCATAACACTAAATCGCATTAAGTAAAAGCCTTCCTAATGCATGATTTTTCTAAATTGGAAGAACCTAAGTCATTATTTAAGAGTAAATTTTTTCTAGACAAATTTGCCTAAAATATGGTACAACCTGATTTTAGAAATTGACAAATTTTGGGATCAACAAGCCCTAAATTAAAAGAACCTGAGTCATTATTTGAAAAATTTTTCTAGCCAAATTTGCCTGAAATATGGTACATGATTTTAGAAATTAACAAATCTTTTAACTAACCCTAAATTGGAAGAACCTGAATCATTATTTAAAAAATTTTTTCAGACAAATTTGCCTGAAATACAGTACAAATCTTTGGGATCAACATTCTTGTATATACATATATATATATAGTATAAAGAATTATTAAAATAAAAAGTATGCATGTGTATATAAGAATTATTGAAATAAAAAGTATGCATGCTTATGTACATATGTATTTAGCCCTTTTTTTTCATTCTTTATATTTTTTATACAGCAATACTTAAAATATTTATGTATTTTTGTTTTCTTATTTGAAGATTGCCAAATAGTAAATAATTAAATATAAAAATAAAAGAATCATAGCTATGCAAGTAATTGTACTTTTAGCCTTTGAGGTAGTTAATAACTTTTTTTTTACTCAAACTTATTATTTTTTTATTTTGTTTTATTTTATTATTTTTTTTTTAATTTTTTTTTTACCTTCGTTTAATACATCTTTCATTAGACAAATGCAGCACTTCTCATCTTAATATCTTAACATAAAGTAAATATTACTTTTTTCTTTTTTTTTAAAAAAAAAAATAAATAAATAAATAAAATAAATAATAAAGTTACAATATATTGTAGTTATTTCTTTATTTTTATTTTTTTTAAAAAAAAAATCACTATTCATATCTCTTAATGATACTACTTTTAATGATAATACTATTACAACTCTTTCTGATAAACCTTTGTACCAAAAAATATAACAAACTTTTTTTCTAAAAAACAGTAAACTATAACAGAAAAGAAAAGCATAAAACTAATAAAAACTATAAATCAGCACTTGTTATTTAGAGATAGTTCTTATATGCTACTTGTCATGGTCAAATTTGGTGCCTTGTGTATTCATAGCACAAGAGTCAAGAATCATGATCATGTCATGACCTAATTTGCATGAATGGTGTGATTTAGAATCGTATAGAATTAATTAAAAGTTAAAATAGTGATTGTATAAACAATGTAATAATCAATAGAAAAGTATATAATAATTAATGATGCAAATGTGTATTGGTAATTAATATAAATAGTGTTGGCAATTTTATTGGCCAAACAAATTTGTTTGGCTGTTTCAGCCAAAAAAACATATGAATTTGGCCGAATTGGCTATTTTTTGGCTAGCCAAAAACATGCTTGGCCGGTAAAATTGCCAATACTGAATATAAAGTATTGATCTCAAATAGGAAAATATCAAGCTTTGATTCTTAGTGAATAAACTGTGTTATCTGTGTGGATCATTATCGGTAGAGTACCTGTATAATACTCTAGTCATCATAAATAAAAGCCAAGTGAATAAAGACCAATAGAAAAGTCAAATAATATACATGTGTTGATAAACTATATGACATAAAAACCTGGGTAGAAAGCAATATTCTCATTAAACTACGTGGTTGATTGTTAATCAAAAGTAAAAGTCTTTGTGAAGTAATAAGTAAAATGTGTTATTTGAGGATTGAAGAAACCAGAGGTTGAGTCTAAAGTCAAAAATGATAAGTGTGGTAAAACAGATATTTAACTTACGTGAAAAGAATAAAATAAAAAGCACCAATCTTCAAGTACCATATTATTATAGTGATAGCAAAGAGAGTGTGGATAATTTTTTGGTTGATTTTGAGGCTTACACTATATTCAAGAGATGGAGCGAAGCATGTATAAGAATGATGGTAAGTCATCATGTCTCTGAGCATTTAAGGCCATGGATAAGGGAGTTGATATAGACAACTAAAAGTTGGGCCAAATTGAAGTTAAAAATAATAAAGAGTACAAAGACATTATATGATGAAGAAATAAAGCTAAATAAGTTAGCACACCTAAAGCAAAATAAAAGAGAATCAGTATTGTACTATACAAACTAATTTGAAGCCTAGATGTCAATAGCGAAAAGACAAGTCTATCAGAAAGCTGAATTGAATGCAATGTATATAAGAGGGCTAGACAAAAAATATATTGAGAAGGTTTATCATAATTGTCTTGAAACCTGTAAAGACATAAAAAGGTCTACCTTGAAGATTGAAGTATATATAAAGCAAAGCAAATACTATAAGGAAAGAGCTGTTAAAATGTT